AAAAAACCGTGCTGTGCTGTTCGTACATCGCTTCGGCAGTTAAAGCGACAGCACAAACGAAGAGCAACAAATATTTGAGACCGCGCTGTGGCTAAACTGTTTGAAATTTCGCATCCAAAGTTACAAGACGGTTCTCGCTTTTCTACAAAACAAAGCGCTCATTTTTGCCTTTCGCAATTTCGCATCAAAGAGTGAACTCTAGTATTAAGTTTGCTACATCTACCAGCAAATGTAGCTGAAGGCAAGGATATTGTTAATTTCGTAACATCCAGTGGACGTCAACAAAAATACAAAGCGCATCCTGTTCAATAGATATGAGCCTTTATCACTTCCTGGAAAAAGTTTCCTTCCCTCCACAGTATCGGGGTTCAAGTAAAAAATAAAAAGTTTTCAAAAGAGATGCAAGTATTGTCTTAAAATTGGAAGCAGGAAGAAGCAAGCTTGCAATGCAAAAATTATTTTGATAAGCCGGCACTATGCCCCGATGGATGTTTTGAAACTTGTTTTAATAAATATGTTTTAACGTGTAAATTATCACTTTAATAAAGAATAGTATTTAAGTATAAATAATTATTTTTCAAACATGTTTTTATTTTCTGCCGTATTAATAACGGGTTGTCCCGCAATTGCATTTCCAAAACTAAACAAACTCTTAAGGGCCATTCACATATAACTTTCCTCGCTTTGCTTGACAGTTCAAACTTTGACAACAAAGCGTGAAACGCAGAAGGTATGCTACAATAAACGCTTTGACAGCTTTTTTCGTTCTCCTTTTCCTCCATATATTTTCTCTGTAAAATAGATAACAATATAATAATATGCATTAATTAAAGCAATAAAAATTCCTATTTACCCTATTTTTGTCATTAAATGCAAATGCAAGCGCACGAGAAAAGATACATAGAGACAGCTGATTGTCAAAGCGGGCAAAAGTTGAGAGTTGCCCAAGATTTTGCTTTGTTTTGCTTTGTTTTGCTTCGCTTTGCTTCAAACGTTTTTTATGTGAGCATACTCATGCATATGCCTACACCGATCTTATATGTCAAAGCAAAGAACTATCAAGCAAAGCGAAGAAAGTTGTATGTGAATCAGCCTTTAAAAACAAAATGCTATGGCGGGCAACAGTTTAAAAAAATGGTGCAGTGAAAAAAGCCGGAATGTCTGCACCTCATCTTTGTATGAAAAAATGAATTGATTCTCCACCAGCCACCTGCTAAATTTAATTGAAGCCGAATGAGTTAAGGAACGCATCTGTGTTGTTGGTTTATTTTTTCAGTACATATGTATATGAGTGTATAATTTGTAAGACGTATTCTAATGTTTGTTGATGTTATTGCAATATTGTTATTTTGACTAATTTGGCTTATTTGTTTAGTATAATTCTGAAAAGTTAAATTAAAAAACGACACTGAAATGGCACAACGCCGAAACTGGTTTGCCTCCGAACCGAATTTGACAAGGCATGACCAAAATTCAGTCAAAAATACATCAAACAAGGAACTAAAGATTTCGACTCCTATTATGGTTCACAACTCAATTTGTAGACAACTCAACCATTTATTGTTATTGCCGTTCACAGTTTTCAGTTGACTGCAGCCATTGAAAAGGTCGGAAATTCTGTACAATTCCATAGCATATGTACGTATCCGTATGCAAGCGTTTAATATTTACGCTTAGAAGTAAAAAAACATACAATTTGCTTACATTTTCAGGCATTGCTATGTAGATGCTGCCATAAAAATTTCTATGATCAATTTTTCTGTCAAACGCACGCATATGTATACGCATGCTATGGAGATCCGCCTTTATGTTTTACCGATGGGCCCGAGGATGCTGGTGCCAGACAACTACGATTTGAAAGTTGAGTTGAGTTGTGTCCCACAATATCAATTTACAACTTACAACTCAGCTCTCTTCAAAGTTGTGAATCAACACGGCATCACACTTTAAAATGCCGTTGTGTTTGTCATAATAGGTGTGCATAGTAATTTCTCCAGTGAAAAATTGCAGCGAGAGCTTAAAAGCAAAACAGAGCGTGAAATTGAGAATAGAAAACTAGCAGAAAAAGTTATTGAACACAAAACTAGTAAAAAATTGCAAGTGAATAGTTGTTGCACTGTTTTGAAATTCTACATGGTTACATTTTACTATTTATAAATCAGTTTTAAACTCTTTGTTTTACACACAAGCACTTACACAATCCAGTACATCGTTAATATTTTGATTTCCATTCATTTTACTTTTGTTTATGCTTAACCAACTCAACAAATGGCAGCTTTTGACATTTATTCTTCTTTTTCTGCTAGCTGATTTCGGCTAATAAAAAATTCACTAGCAAGAATTTACAGCTCTCCCGTGTTATTACGGTCTCGATTCAGTGCCCTCTTGCACATTTTTTGGGTTATTATACAATTTTCCAGTAAACATTTCCAGGTTCCAGTAAAAATTAGTACTCACTATTTGTTACTATACGCACCTAATATATTTTATTCTCGTCGAGAAACTGTATTTTGAACTTTTCAGTTATGTATACTTTTTATCCATTACATACAAATATACCAGGTATACATAACTGAAAAGTACATAATACAGTTTCTCGACAAGAATAAACGATATTTTAACAAACTCAACGACATTTTGAAGTGTAAGGGTTATACTTTAAGGTGCCGTCAATGGCTTTGGGAACACGTAATTTTCTGTGATGCTACATAACCTCAAATATTGGCAAAACCCGATATTTTTTCAGATTTAGGTTAGGATATTATTTGAACCGGAGGCAACAGAGAAATTCTGAGTGCAGATTCCAATTTAGCGTACCGGAAATCTTCGGAAAAGTATATACGGTTTCTGGTTCTAAGATTTGGTCAAATTCTGTCGGCCTGTGCTATTGTTTTAAAAAAAAACCAAACAATATCCTTTTCCTAGTAGTTTTGACTACCTCATATTACAGCGTAAAAATTAAAAAAAAATATAAAGGCAAATATAGAGTTTTGACAGGAAAATGTATAACCTTAATTCTGGGGGGATGTGTTAAGTCGCTCTTTGCGAAGAGAGAAGTTCTGATTGATGTTCTGATAACAATGAAAATCCCTTGAGATGCTTAACTCGCAGGTCCCTAGTGACAGTAATCATCTGCCTATTAACGAAGTAGAGGAATTTGATTGCGAGCTAGCAATCATGATGAGGTTAATGATTTACTTGCTAAAAAGAAAAAATTATTCTGCTACATGTGCTGACAAAATCTTATACAGGATTATTAAAAGCCTTTACTGATATTTTTTTCTCTAATCAGATCAAATTGAATTGGAAAGCTATCAAGTTTTTGCCTATTCCCGAAAGGGGACCTAACTGATTATAAAAACTTTAAAACTATTGCGCTAATTGCTGTTCTTATGAAAGTAATAAATGGTTGTCTTAAGGAAAGTTTTTACAACTTCTTGGAAAATAATAATTATTTTGCTGCGTCGACGTTTGCCTATAGAAGTAACAGATCAGTGTCCTCGTGTGTAAACCAGATTCATCACCAAATTGCAGTCCTAAAAGATTCAAGAAACATGTGATATTGTGTTCAACTGATGCTTTTGAGATATTTAAATATTGTTTGTTGTAAACAATTTCAATACGAACTTGGCCCAATCATATGTTTAAATTATTTATTGTATGTTGAATGGATTATTTATTTTCTTGCATAAGCTGATTAAGCTTGGCAGCACCATAACTGAATATCTCATTGGTTTTAAATACGAGTCATTCGGATTTTGGTCACGAGCGGGTGTGGTATGGTCGCGTCTGTTCGCTTATAGTTCGCAGTTATCCCACGTTTTGTGCTTGTGAAAATTTTTCAAGTGTTCTAAGACAAAGGCTTTTTGTGTGGGCCGCGCTAACTTATAAACTTTATTTCTATAATTAAATTAACTCGGTCGTCGCGAAAATATAATTAGTGCTAACAAACTCAGGTGAGTGGTCCTGGCTAAGTTTCAATTGTCACATTTTTCTTAGATTGAGGGAAAAAAGATTGCCTCAGGTTGCCGGCAAAAAAGAAAAAGAAGCTGCCGTTTGAGGCACACTCTAGCAAAATGGCGTCGCCGACACGAAAGTCGGTGGCGTCTTTTGTTAAAAATGCCACTAGCGGCACATCCAAAAAAGCTAAAATAATTGAAAGCGAGGATGTCACTGGCTTTTACGAGCTGTCCAATGATGGTCTTGTAAAAATCTGTGAGGACTCCTTAGCAGGTAATAATTCAAATAATAATGATACGACAATGGACTGTGATTTGAGGTTAGAGTCAGTAGGCAGTGAAGGTTCAGTGGTATCAAATACCGTTAGTGCTAATACGCAAAAAGAGCGCGACAATAAGCAAGATAGTGGTGTAGTCTCCTACCCGCAGCATTTTCGCGGTGAAATTTTTGTGCTGGTTGACTCTTCGGCCAGTACAGTTATGAATAATAAAAAATTGACAACAGATCTAGAGCTTTTCAGCCAAATCAAAGACTTGAGATTTAGGGATATGGATCTCATCCATGCGGTTGGCAGGTCACTCTACAAGGTGACTTTTACAAGCACGTACTCTGCAAACACCTTTTTATTCGATACACGTATTGTGAAGCGTGGTTTAAGGGCGTTCGTTCCTCGGACAGCACTCGAGAGCTACGGGGTAATCAGGGGTGTACCCACGTGTTTTAGTGAGCAGGAGATTGCCAAGGAAGCAATTAGTAATATTCCAATAGCATCCGTTAGGCGCTTTACGCGCAAAGATGAAGCTAATAGCACTTATGTCCCCACTACTACTTTAAAAATTGGGTTTGAAGGTAATGAAATCCCAAAGACCATTGTTTATAACTACACCAAACTTACTGTTGAATACTTCGTACCCTCCCTGAGGCAGTGCGACAACTGCGGAAGGCTAGGGCACACCAAACTCTCGTGTAAAAGTAAGGCAAGATGTTTGAAGTGCGGCAACCCAGAGTGTAAGGGTGCAGACTGTAGTGATAGATAAATCATGCATATTGTGCGGTATAACTGGGCATACTGCCAAAGACGAGAATATCTGCCCCCAATGGGAGAAAGAACAAATGATAAATCGTATTAAAACAGTTAAAAAAATGTCCCGCAAAGAGGTCTTGGACCAATATTACCCCAAGACGAGTAATCGCTTTGACTTATTAGATTCTGATGAGACCAGCTTTCCACATCTTAACAGTAACTCAAGTGAGGTGGTTGACAAGGACATGCATATAAACAAAAATTTTACTAAGAAATCATATAGCTATGTGACCAAAAAACACACAAAGAAACCAAACCCCTTAGCAGAGCACCCCGTAGACCCTCTGCGCTGATAAATTCGGTGTACAATTCCCCGGAATACCAAAAGGGCATAGTGACAGAAATTGAGCGGCTAATGGCCGAAATGATCAAAAGACTGTCTATCGAAAATAGAGACACGCAAACCTTTAATGACATCCAATCAGTAAAAAACCAATTTGAACGTATTTTAAATCAAAGGGATGGGATAGAAATCTCAAACTTTTCTGTCCAACACCACCCATCATAGAAAAATTCTAAACTATAGTCTAATCAAAAAATGTCGTAGCGATGGGTATGGTGGTGTAGCCATAGCCATCAAGCTATGCATGACGTTATTTTTAAAAAACTCGCCTATAACTCCGAGTATGATGTTTTGATAATCCAAACCAAAAACCTTAACCCGAACATTACAATTTGCAACCTATATTTTCCACCCAGAATCAATATAAATGATTTCAATAATGAAATAACCAGGAATTTAAATTTTTTAGAGGCACATAGAAATATCTTCTTAGTAGGTGACTTTAATGCCAGATCAACCCAATGGGGCGATAGAGTTGACTCAAGTAGAGGCAGGCACCTCATCAGACACATACAGCAGTCATCTTTTCGATGCTTAAATGGTGGGGACTATACGTATAAAATGGATATTCGGTCGGAAAATGGCTCAGTGCTTGATCTGGCCTTCAGCAATTGCGGCTTGTCATGCGACTGGAGTGTTGATTCCACCAGGATTGGGGGTAGTCATCACTTTCCCATCTCCATTGAGATCAAGGACTGAAGCAAAAATGTTACTAAGTTTTTAGCCAAGAAAAAGTTATGTGAATCCCTTAAAGAATTGGTATGTGAATCCAACATACATGACTTTGAAAGCAAATTGCAAGAAGAGATCAAAAGAGCCACTTACGTGACAAGTGGAAATCGAACCCCCAAACCCTGGTGGAATAAGGAAGTCGATAAAGCGTATAGATTCTTCCGGATTGCGCTCCAAAAGGCCAAACAATGGCCCAGCCCCAACAACTTCGAAAATCTGCTTGAACAACGGAAGTCCTGGAAAAAAGTTGTTAAAGATGCCAAAAAGAAGAATTTCAACAATAAAATTGACCAAATAAACTCCAGTCTAGGGAAAAAAGCGTGGAAATTTGTCAAGACGTTACGTGGCGATCACAGTCAAACTAGTAAGGGGGTCTGGAATGAGGAGTATAACCAGGACTACCTTAACATGCTTAAAGAACAAATCCCGACTCAGGTAGCGGTGACAGAAATAAACTGCCCTACGCAGCCAAGTCCTAACCTTGCGATTACATGTGACGAGATCAACTTCATACTTAATAAGAAAAAAGACACAGCGGCGGGCGCTGATAACATTTCTTATAGCATGCTGAGGTCACTGTCTGACTTCACTCTAAACACGTTCAAAACCTCCATCAATGACATTTTGTTGTCCAACCAAATTCCCCCCCAACTGGCGCGTAATTAGGATTGTGCCTATACCCAAAAGGAACAAAGACCTCACTCAAATAGAGAATTTTAGACCCATATCGCTCATCTCAGTTATGTTAAAAATAGTAAATAGTGTTATTAAAGAAAGACTATACGAATTTGTGGAGTCGAACTGCATCCTACCAAATAACACCTTTGCGTACAGAAAGAACAAGTCGACAGCGATGTGCATTAATCACATGCTACACCAAATTGGGGTTCTTAGAGGTAACAGAAAGGAGGTAATTTTGTGCTCCACAGATGTATCGAACGCGTATAATTGCGTCAACATTCATACCCCTCAACAAATTCTTGTAGACCTGAAAGTTGAGAAACTCTATACTGACTGGATAATACATTTTTTGGCTAGCAGGACTTTAAAACTAGGAAACAGTACGGTCGAAATCAGCAATGGGCTACCGCAAGAAAGTGTACTGTCACCAATCCTCTTTAACATTTATACAAAATGGCTACACAATCTATCCGACTCCAATATACAAATATACCAGTTCGCTGATGACTTTTTCTTTGTATCCCCTGAGGGTAACAGCAACCTCCTGGTAAAACTAGACAGCTTCATTGAAATCTGCAGCCAACTACAACTAAGTTTCAACCCAAGCAAAACTAAAGTCATGCATGTTAGCAGAGGACCAAAAATGGAAATTAATGTCACTATAGGCCAGACTAGATTACAACAAGTTAATGAAATTAAAGCACTGGGCAGAATAATAAACAGCTCTCTGACCATGAGTAGTCACTATAAATCTACCATAGAGGCAACTTCCAACAATATTAAGTTTTTCAACTCCTAACAAATGTCAAATCGGGTCTCCATCCGCAGAAAGCCATGAACATATACAAAAGTCTAGTTAGGTCTAAAATTGAGTATGGATACACCACTGCTGCAAATGGTGCCAAATCTGCCTCCAAAAAAATACTCACTCTACAAAACAAATTTCTCAGAAGATGCTTAGGTTTAACGCCCTCTACCCCTATTCCCACCATGTATGCACTGGCCAATGAACTGCCTCCTGCAGAGAGGTCAATATGGCTTACCGCGAAAGAACTGGCTAAAATGTTTGCGGTTAATGACCCCATAGTTGATTCGGTTAGATCCAGCCCCCTTGGGAACTCCAGTTACTCCTTCACATATAACAAATTCAGACAAATTTTCGACCGGCTTGAACCTGTGGGATATCATCCCACCTCCACCAACTGTGAAATAATCGACAGCGCTTTCCCTAGCCTCAAGGCCACAATGACTGCTGAATGTGCCAATGCTCACTTCTCTAGGATGCTCAACAATTACAAGGAGAGGAGTTTTAACGTCATGTTCACCGATGCATCGCTCTCTGACAGCAAGACTGGGTGTGGCATATACAATTACAACTATGACACTGCATTCCACCTACCCTTTAAGTCGTCCACAGCCTTTGGGGAACTCTTGGCCATTGAAGAGGCAATTAATATCGCCTCCAATAATAACTACCGCAAATTAGTAATATTTACAGACAGCCTTGTGTCGTGCCAAACCCTTAAAAACCCTAACTCACTCAACAGCATTGCTAGTAGAATCCTACGAAAAATCCACGCAGCTGCTTTCGACAGTATCCATATTGCATGGATACCCAGTCACAAAGGTATTCCGGGGAATGAAAGGGCTGACAGTATTGCCAAAAAGGCAATTGACAGTAGCAGTTGTAAAAACTACTTATAAACTACCGACGAAGCTATCAAGCAGATAAAAGAAACATTGTATAACAAATGGTATGCTGGTTTCCTGGCATATGCAAATGATCATCCTAACTTATATGCTACTATCTTCCCCACGAGAAGAGATACCGCATGGTTCAAAAAACTTTCACTGTCCCCTTCCAATATTAAAACCTTGAATCGGATACTAACAGGCCATACCTATGACAAGAACTACCTGTTCAAAATTCAGGCCTATCGGTCAAATCGCTGCTCGTGTGGTCAAGTTGATGGATACGTCCATCAGACTTTCCACTGCAGGCGGCACTCGAATGTCAGATCCGGATACGATATTTTCCAAACACATAACAGCTTTGAGGCAATTTTTCGTGACAAAAATCTAGCCAAGATAACTCAACTGATTAACTTTTTACAAAAAGCCAAGATCGCCTTTTCATTTTTATGTTTACTGTAATTTTTGTTTAAAACCCACTTATGTATATTTATAGTACTGGTGTTGTAACTAGTACATTCGTTTCATGTATTTACTATTTATACCGTCTCCACCTCGCTCAAACCTTTTCAATCCGCTCGCTGGCGTGTTATTCCGCCGCATACAAGGCTAACATAAGCCGCACCTAAACTACAAGCGTTTCAAGCAACTTCGGCACGCCCAGTGCAAGCGTTTCAACAAGTCGTCTAATGTGTCCCCACCGTCACCTTCCTTTAACTCGTAATACATTCTGAAGTCCAACTACACCAGTCAGAAGATAACATACACGGAGGAACAACCTGGAGTATGCGGTCCTAACTCTTAGGAACTGGCCACTAATCCAAAACACAAAAAATAAATAAATACGATTCAATGAATTGAACAGGTTAAAATAAAAATGCTATTGGCTGAATGTAAGAGAAGGCTTACAGCTGTTAACAGACTTTTGTATCCTTTTTACTTTTACTTAAAAAAAAATGAATTTGACGGCGCCTTGCTTAAACAAAATTTTAAGTTCTAATGAACACACATCCATACATATGTAGAAACCTAACAAATTTTAACAAATTTGATTGAATAGATTCGATGGTTACGAAGGTTTAGCCATTTTCTTTAGGAAAAAATCAAATGTGGAAAATTGACTTTTGATTCTGACCTGTGTATACTTATGTTACAGATAAAGAGCTTAAGGTCAGGTTTTCAAAATGTCTTAATTTTTAGCGTCTGAAACGCTAGGTCCACGTCGTGTCGTGGTATAAATTCCCACATCATTTCTAAGCATAACTTCTGGCATCTTCATGATGGCTCACAGACTTTTAAAACTAACCTGCTACTACCGAATGGTTCTGCCGTACACGTATTTTTCACAAACAGCAACATCCCATTCAAATGAAGAACTGTCCCAATTAGAATTAGAGGCAAATATCACTTCCTTATCTTAATAGAATCCACTACAATATAAATACATAGCCAACTTCTATTCTATCTTAGCTCAAATACTTGCTAAAACAACTGTATATCTACGCATTTAGGCATTATAAATAGTGAAATTAACATACATATATGTATCAGTGCTTTTTTTTTTTGAGATTCTCATAATTGAATTAAATTTCTTTCGGCGAGCAGCGCCTATGAAAATTTACTTAAAAGCACAGCGTTCAATTATTAGCTTGCCTTTAGCTGCTAGACTACAAAATTTTATATAAGTTGCATAATATTTTTGTTTTCTAAAATTAGTAATAAATGTGCAAACCATTTGCACAGACTTTTGCGTTTTAGTATTGCCTAAATCAGTTTAAAGCTATAGCTCCTCATGTATTTGTTCGATTTGTTGTGTTAGTTTGTCACTTTTGTGTATGAACTCACACACGACGCTCACCTTTTTTAACAATTCAATGGCAGTTTGCAGTACTTTGTGCCATTTCTTTAACTCAGCCTCATGTAGAATCTCCTGTTGGCGCAGCAATTCCATCCATTCTTGATTCGAATTGGGCAATTCTCTGTGATGGGAATAGAAAATTACCTTTTTTGCGATTAATAAACCCGATGACTTTATACTTACTTCAACGCGGCCAAATTAGGCAGACGCGCTCGACTGCTTATATTATCATCGATACGCTCCTCTAACGACCAAAGCTTAAGCAGGAGTATCACATTTAAAGCGATCAAGAAACACAACAGACAAATGACAAACACTGATAGCCATTTGTGTTTGTTTTGCGGTTCAGTGTCGCTCGCTGGCTGTTGTGCTACAGCAGCTGTAAGACGGGGAACCTGACGGCGATTGGTGGCCACTGACACTTCGAGGGGTTCTGTTTTCTTTTGTGCTTCGGGCACATCTTCTGTTATCGGCCGAACTTGAGTCGAAGTACCTTAAGGGAAAGAGAGAGAGAGAGTAAGGAAATGATAAGGAACGGATGGAAGCAAGGCATATTTAATAAGGTAGAAGTGATTTTGACATTTCTCTCTTTTGAACACCGGCTATAATGTCAAATGATAAATAACATTTAACCCTTTTCAAGTTGGCATATTCTATTTTTCATTAAAAATTTGATTGCATGCTGTGAGATAGTTTTGAATTGTGTGAATTTTTTGGTTTTTCGACCACATCCATTTATAGATACATATGTACAGTGCCGAACAGAAGTATTGGCACAGTGAATTTTTCGCAATATATGCAAAGTTTCTTATTCTCATTTATTTTCGATAATTTTTTATAAAAATATTGTTCATTCTACACCAGAAAACATAATAATAAAATTTCTAAACTTTGTGCAAAACTCAGGAAAATGCATTAAATTTGCATACTTTTTATTCAGATCTTTTAAAAAATTCTAAGCATGAAGTTCATAGCCCATTCAAATTTAGTATAACAAAGTGCAAGTTTGAACTCTCTAGAAAATCGCATTGATTTTTGGTAATTTTTTTTCACGCAAGTTCTTCCATACAAAGTAATTCGACAATTATTTTTTGTATGGAGAAAATGAGCAACACCTTCCACTAAAAAAATTGCATTTTCTCATACTAAAATTTAATGGACTATAAAACTGCATACTTAGAATTTTTCTAAAAAATCTGAATAAAAAGTTGCAAATTACTGTGCAAATTTAATGAATTTTCCTGAGTTTTACACAAAGTTTAGAGATTTTATTATTACGTTTTCTGGTGTAAAATGAACTATATTTTTATAAAAAATTACCGAAAATAAATTAGCATAGAAAACTTTGCATATATTGCGAAAAACTCACTGTGCAAATACTTTTGTTCGTCACTGTATACAAAAATAAAAGGAGTTGGAACTAGGAGCGGTGCGCTGTGTGTGGCAAGAGCCAAGAAGTTAAAGTGGCGTTGTACTTTAAAGCTCCTAGTTGCAAAGTTAGAACAGCTTCGTTCGGAAAACGGCTGCGGTGTTCAATTGGAAGATTCTTCCCGTGTCTGTGAAAACCATTTCAACGCGAATGATTTTATTACTTGCCCATTGCAGGCAAATATCTTTAAGCGCATGCCTTTATACCAAGGTGCAGTTCCTAAGTACACGAAAGTTCAGAAGTGACGATATGATCTGTTGATGCGCAGACGCAAACTGAGACCCAAACTGCAAGAAATAAATAGTTTCTCACAAAATTACGCACGTCAGGACCTAGATTTATACTGATATACATACGTATGTATGTGTACATTTATTCAATGCAATGATTCCATACAATGTAGTTTCAAAACGGAAATATACCTTCTTAATGAAAAAATTAAGACAATGGAAGACACTATAGCGGCTGTCTTTACAAGCCTCCCTTGAAAAAATTTTCACTAAAGGGCAGTTAAAAAACTATCAACAAATTGTTAGAGTTAAGTCTTCATATAAATTTAGAAGAAAACATTAAATCACTTTTTTATAAGTGCCGGATGTTTTTTAGAATTAAATATTTAAATAAGAAACTAAACGCGCAAAAACATTGGGCGAATAAAAAAAATGTTTAAAACAGTTCCATAAAACATTTCTTTCATTTTATTTACGTGTTTTCCTATATGAGGTATTCGTTTCTGTCTATATGTATACATATTTATGTGTATATAAGATGGAAATGCAATTAAAATTCTTTGAAGGTAATATTGAAGGAATTCTTAAAATTAGTATACGTGCATACATATGTATGTATTTATGCTGATGCGTTTCAATTGATGCTAGTTTGTAGCAAACATATCACTCGCACCTCAAAAGGTTAATTTGTTTGTTTACAGTTTTTTGACATTATAACTTGCTACAAGAGAGTTCGAGCTAGTTGTCACTTCTACCTTATTAAATATGCCTTGGATAGAAGAAAATAAACAAATAAACATGCAAGCATACGATGGGCGATATCTGACGATTTTTGATTGAGTATGAATACATTCAGAAGTATGTGTATGAGACATTGAGTCGTACAGCATCAAGAATGATAGAATACACCATAGTATACCATGGTATAACATCATATCGTATTAAGTGTACTTGCTAGATGCTCGAAGAGGACAAATTTTGCAAATGAAGTATGGGCCGGATGATAAAACGCTTTTTAACATTATGACTAACAACATCTAAATGCTAAATGCAGTCGCCACAAGTATAAGACTAAACAGAAAAATGTGTATGGTTAACCGAATTAGAGCATGTGTTAAGAGGATACCGGGAGGAATAATGGTTATAAAAACTAGTCAACATGCAACGGAACGGGTTCATGTAATAGTGATAGTCTACTAGGCGCACTTCATTATACCTTCCTTGCTATTCGATTGCACGACAAATTCCTCATATACTTGTATAATGTTATGAAGTGGGCTATGTTGCTGCTGGTGCTTTTTAAGCTTGCCTATATGATTATCAAAGCAAGGTTCTTGATGATGCTGACAGGCGTGCAGGTGTAGATTATTACTCTTAAGGTGATTATCGGAGTGCTGCAGGTGTTGATGATCAATACCAACACGTTCAACACAATTAGTAAAATGGAAGTGGCGGTGATGATGAGTATTGTCACATTGTCGATTACAATTGTTAGTGATGGTGGTGTTAGCAGTGCTAGAGGAGAACTTTGTGTTGCACGTGAGATTTGCAGTTGGAGTGGAAGCGTTAGAAGTAGAAGCATTGGCAGTGGTATTGGCAATGGCAGTGACAAAAAAAGTTGTGGTATCAAAAGTAGAAACCGTAGTTGGATTATACGAACATTGATCATTTTTGTTGTGGAGAGTGACAGTAGTATTCGTGTTGATTAGTTTGTTGTGCTTACCGCGACGTGGACGACGTCCTTTTGCCTTGGAGGGTGGAATGCAAGTTTCATTTTGCAAAGCTTGGAGCATTGCGCCGAAGTATTCTTCCATGCCAGCCCATGTATTCTTCTCTATGAAGCCTTTCACGACACCCCAAATAGATTTCTTGTATTTAATTTGAGCGTGCACAGACAGCATTGTGTGGTCATCAACGGTTCTGTAGAAGTACGATAATTTTTGTATTGTAGAAATCTCTTAAAAAAGGCACACGCACTTACCTTACTAAGCAGTAATGAATTAATACACTAAAGCTATCAGCATATGGAATGCCAGCATTAACACTATTTACATCTATGGAATACAGTTCGCCTGGTTTGCTACATTCACGCATTTCTTGCGTCTCAGTCACCTGCAAACGGGGAAATATATTTAAAATTAAACAAGCCGCGAAAGAGTAGTTGAATTGATAAGTGTAGCTCAAACGCTTCTCTACTCTGCCACGAATTCTATTTTTTCTTTACCTTTGATACTTTTGGACCTACGGAAGCTAATAGTTGCACAGTCAAGCCTAAGGTGCGTGTCTTCTTGCCCTCATCGGTGGTTACCCACTCGCCGAAAGACATATTTTCAGTTTTACGCATAGCATGGAAATCTGCCACGAATTTAGACTTGGAGAAAAGCATGTTGAACAGCGTATCTACATTAATGGGAAGTATTGTGTGTACTAATTGACGGCCTTCATGTGCTGATGTGCACTCAGCAGTAGCAACAAATCTGTAACAAGAAACATTTATGCTTAGTACAATTGTGAATTCACGACATCAAAGTTGTCAAACTTACGGTGCTTTGTTATCCTCAGAGTCACTAGAACACGAGGCATCTGTTGGCAGATTTGTTTGATTATTGCTTGCTGCCTCATCACGTTCTCGTGTGCTTTTGTTCACTTTGCGCTTTGCCTCGTGTGTGACTGCCTTAAGTGTGGAGCTTTTTGTTTCTCTACTGGACGCACTAACCCCACCCCCACCACTGCCACTTTCATTGGCAGAACTGTTCGCGATTTTGCTCTTGCCTGTCTCTTCTTCCAGCTTCACTGAGGTCAGTGTCAATTCCTTTGCATTCATTGTGTTCTTTGAATCACGCTCACCGTTATTATCACTTGTTTTATTATCAGAACCGCTTGTCGACGTGGTCGTCGAAGAGTTCACAACCGATTTATTCGAACTGAAGAAATATGATGATTTTGTTCTGGGTTTACAACCGCCAGCGCTGCTTGTGCTGGAGCTATTGCCACCGCTATTGCTGGCAATTTGTGTAACTGAGTTAGCTGTGCTGTAGTTGCTGCTAACAATCGAATTTGTGTCTTCTAGTGCTGATGCAAAATCAATATCACCTTCACTTTCTACTGGCAAACTAGTCGGATCAATGTAATCTTCATCGTCTGTGGTTAAACCGAGTTCATCACCATAGCAATTATGCACCCATTGCCATATTTCCTGTGGGGGCATCGGCTTGTTCATCAACGTATTTTGCCATACTCGAAAGAGCATCAAAAACGCTTTGTCCCTTGTTGTGAATGTTGCAAAGAAGTATTTCTCCTTAGCAGTACATATGGAAATGGCATTGGGTATGACAAGTGCGGTTTTCTCTTTTGTTATTGAGGTGACATCCTTCCAGCGGATAGTTAAATATGTTTCCCAACGAAAGATATTAGCATGAAAACAAACATAATTCTGTGAGACATACAATCGTCCCTGAACGAGTATATCACGCTGCAGAGCACACGAATAATCTAGAATGTGAAAAAATTCCAAGAACTTATAGCCTGATTGCCCGATCGGTGAAAAGTGCTATATTATGCTTACCAACAATAAGCCGTTCGTCGCTTGGAACTTCCTTGAATAACTTTTTGAAATCTTCCGCACGCGATTTGTAATTCGGATAGAGTACGTTGTACCAAGACTTCTTTTTGGCGCGCTCCGAGAGTCGTGAGCCACTTTTGGGTTTATCAAAAGCGGTTGAATCCTGAACCACACCACGCACTAACTCGCCAGATGTGTCACTCGACTTGCTGATAGTGTCCTGAAATGAAAGAAAATGTCAAAGATTAGATCAATTTTGGCTTATGCATATCGAGAGCTTTTATCCAATACTTTATATCTTCTTTAATAAAATTGAATCTCCGATATTTGCCTGTGTTATAAAGAAAGTAACGGGACGGAGGGCACTGTTACTTAACTATCTATTGCATGTGGAATGAATCAAAAATCAACAGATCCTTACCATTTCTTACGTTCCACCCCGTGCATTATAACACAGGCAAATAGAGACCACCTCTGACCACACTGGATTGCTGTTATTATCGTCATCCTAATATATCACACTTTTATGTTACTATCCCAGAAGATAATTTAAAAAGGCCTTCTTAAGTAAAGCCATTCCTATAAAAGCCCTTTTGGAAGGCCTTCCATGGGTAGCGAAAGAAGAAGCCCTTCAATTTGTGCCACTCCATACAAAAACGAAAGGAGAAAGGAATGTAGAGTGGAAGGCCTCTTGACTCTCATGAAGGCCTTTCGGAAGGGCTTTTAACTCCTGAAATTATCTACTGGGATGTTATTGCGTTCAATAACATAGCAGCGGACGTTGTGGTGTAGTGTTTAGCAGTGTGCGCTACCACTTCGCAGGGCCTGGATTGAAGCCCTGGTCAAAGCAGCATCGCAAAAAAATATAGAAAAAAGGTTTTTTCTTAACAGCGGTCGTCCCTCGGCAGGCAATGGCAAACAGCCGAGTGCATTTCTGCCATGAAAAACAGCTTCTCATAAAAATGCAATCGCCGTCCATGATAAAAATATTTGTATCATGCTCCCCTTTGTGTGACAACATCAAGGCACACGCCACAAATCGGAGGAGAAGCTCGGCAAACACTAACATTTGTATAAGCGCCAATCTATTATTATTATTGTTATTATTCATATGTAATAAAATATTGCAAGTACGAGTTCGGTTGATTTTTTGCTGGAAATATTTGGTTTGTTCGTCGAAAATCCATCAAGAACTATCCAACACCCAACATATCAAAGAGTTACTGCCATAACTAAACAAAAGCGTTGGGCGGAGCGGTTTCTGACGCCTAGCGTTAACGCCGAAGAGACATACCCAAACAAAAGCGTCAACGCTACGTCAAATGCAGAAATAACACCTACAATAAGCATAGGTTGGTTTGTGTGTAATACAAAAATTACAGTTTCGACGTTTTCTGCAGCCAACTTCAATACCTAAGGCCCTGTCCAAATCAGATTTTCCAACCGCTCAGCGTTGCCGCCGCGTTGTTTCGGTATGCTTCATACAAATTGTATGGGCAAGAGATTTTTTTGACAGCCAGACAGCGCTGACGCCTTTGTTTAGGTATGGCAGTAAGGAAAAATGTTCTCTCATGAGGAAACTAGCAAATTTCTGCATGAACGCAAATTTGCAGAAATGTGCAAGTTTCCCTGGCAGCTGATGTCCACGGTTGTATTTCAAACATAATACATTTTTATAGAATTTTTTAAATTCTTTCTGATAGACAAAAACAGGATATACATATATACATTTCTTGTTGTTCTGACATTCTTTAGCATACATTTCGATTTCTTCATCCTACTAGCTGTCGAGTTTCTTAAATCGAGTCTGGTTGCAATTGCATTCCGATTGCGAATAAAATTGTTTCCAGCCGAGAACAGTTCATATCATTGGATTTAACTAAATTAATTATCGCAACAAGTATTTGCTTCCTTTTTTCATAAAAAATTACTCGTGTTTACAAATTTTTAAATTTAACGAACTTATTTATTCTAATTATCGTCGACAAAAATTCAACCATGTGCCACAATCATATGATTGGAAAAAGTTGCAACTTCTCTCCAGAAGAACGGTCACTTTGCGCTCTCAGTTTTTGAGTGATGGATAATTTTTTGGTTTGCACAAACACGATTTGGGCAAAAATCATGATAATTCGTACTAATTCGTAAAAATTTTTTGCTCGACGAACAGAACTATTTTAATCTGCAAAAATTACAAGTTAGTGTATTCTCCAGTATAAAATTATCCAGTAACATACTTAACGTAACGCCACTCATGTACTCAATACATATACAAAAGCGGTACTAGACTGTCTCGCTTTGATTTCGGAATGCTTACACATTGAGAAGTTAGCTTTCAGCCAATATAGAATTATTACATATATGTAGGAAACTGTACGATGAACTGAACCTCTAAGAATTCACTCTTAAAGCAAAAAATATTCAAAACTCAATCAGTAAAAAGTTTTCAAGTTTTATAAGCAGCTGATTAATTTGTTATTTTCCGAAGCAATTTCCTAATTAAAACAGTACTTTCTATTTTTATGTATATATATAAATAGGCTTATTAACCGATTTCAAAAAAAGGAGGTTATTAATACGTCGGAATATTTTTTTTATGTATGTTACCGCATAACTTTGGACCACGTTAACCGCTTTCTATAATTATTTTTTTAAAGCCAAGGTTGTGCTTTAGAGGTGGCCCCATACTAATTTGATTAAGACCCGATCATTAGATCACGCAGAAATTAACGGTAACATTAAATTTTTATATGAGAATTGAAGTCGCTTTTGTCTTTTGATTAAACTTTACTGGTTTTGTCGCACCCAGCAACACGCAATCAGCTGTTTTTAGTACTAGCCAATCGTTACAAGTTAAAATCTTCGCAGTAAAAATTTCCAACTTCCCCTTCAAGCGAACTGTTACTTTGCTCTCAACTTCCCCTACTTTGCAAGTTTGTTGGATACATGAACACCATGACAATTTGTGACAGTTGATTGCAAATTTTTTGTTCATTTACTGGCCGATGATGGCTAATTTTTATAGAACAAAACTTATAATCTAGAATATAAGCCCTCCATTTGTGTCTATAATAACTATTTTAAAATTTTATTTAAAATCAACTTCTGAATTAGGGCGTTCTCGAACTGGCTGCCAAGATACGTCGATCTTCCACTAAGCCATCGATATGTAGAGTAAATATAGGATTGGGCCCATAACGCTTATTTGGGGTACGCCTGCTAAGCTTTCATGAAGTTTGGAATGTTCCATACCCTGCTTGACGAAAAAATAGCGATTTTTAAGGTAGGACTGGATAAATATATAGTAGTTAATTGGGAGTGTAGTTTAAATTTTATAAAGTAATCTATCGGTCAAAAGCTTGCGAAATATAAAGGAAGGCAGCAGTACAATATTTTTTTTGGTCGAAGACAGTAAATATTTTCCACAAGCCTGTTGACTTGTTCAATTGTGCTGTGTATTTTCCTGAAGCCAAATTGATGCTTGGGTATGAGTTTTCGCTCTTCTGTGATTGGAGGTAACCTTTTAAGGAAGAGAGATTCCATGATTTTGGAGATTGTAGGTAGTAAACTAATTTGTCGATAGGATTCTACTTTATCAGCATTTTTTCCAGATTTGAGAACCAATTTTATTTGTGACACCTTTCATTGTGGGGGTATAAATCCAATAGTGAGGTCAGCAATAAGTAAAAAGTGAAACACTCTTTGGGTAATTGCTTTAGCAATTGGCTGGTAATGAGATCATAGCCGGGAGCGTTTTTTCAGGCTAAACTTAGCAATTGCTGGTCCATTTGATAAGTACAACACAGGGTGACGTTGACTTTATTTATTGTCTCGGGTGAGGGTTCAAAAGTTATGTGGTCTGAATACCGTCTTTAGATAGCGTGCAAATGTGTCAGCCTTTTCTAAATCCCTTTTTGTCAATTCGTTGTTTTCCTTTCTTATTGCAGATTCCATGAGAGTAGGTCTCTTGAATTTGGTCGCTGCATTCCAGAAAGAATATTTGGTAGTTGCAGATACATCAATACTGATCAGGTGTTGTTGATTTGGGAGTTCCGTTCATTATTGAGTCTCTTTCAGTTCTTTTGCGAGCTTGTTTATTCGTTTTTTATCTTCATGGTATCTATTTTTTTGCCACCTTTTGCTTGCAAGTCGTTTTACATTTTTTTCGCCATAAGTTTATCGGACGAGAGCGGAAATAAATTGAGACTTCTGATAGCAGTGTAGGGTTGTCGTCCTGTTGAAGTGATAATTCGAAAACCCCAGGTGTGCTTTACGTTGTAATCGCCTCTGTCTATAAACCTATTTCTAGGAAATTGAAAGCCCTTTCATATTCCCCAGTACTGATAGTATGTTTAGGTGGGCTGTAGATTTCGGAGACCGTTAACTGGCCTTTTCGATCTTCAACTATAATATTTGTTGCTTGTATAGTGTCCGAACGCCACGGAATCGTGGTGTAATGCTTGATTGTGATTCGAATTAGTTTACCTTAGCCAGCATGAGCGTTGAGTTGACCCGAGAGGTAACTACTGGAAGCAGACTTTGCTGATTCTACCTGTTTCTGAGCGGCACTTTTGAGTGGGGTTTCCTTTATTCTCAATTGTGGTCATTTGAATTTTTAAGGTTTCTATAAACAAAATAGCCTTTATAGTTTGCTGGGTGATTACCATCGCATATGTATAGGACATTTCTCATCGTCAGACTTACTCTTTCGCTTACAAGCTACAGATCCGTGGTCTCCTGTGCATTTAAAGCATACCGGCCTTCGATGGCCGTTGGCACGTTGAGGTATTTCTCCCTTTGGTCATTGGGGTTCGAAAAATTGTAATAAGTGTCATAAAGCTTTCACCTGATATACTACCCTGCCCACCATTAGTTCATACACATTGAAACATTACTACTTCAAGATTGCAATGAACTAAAAGTGTGAAGTGTATGAACTACGGCTGGGTTTGAGCTCAATGATGAAACGTGGTAGCGGCTTTCGAGTTGTTCTATGTAACTGTTTGACCAAGACTTTGTGTTAATCTATTATATCTTGATAATACACAGACGGATGCATGTTTTTCAGCACCCCTTCTAAAGCTCTTTCTTGCTTCGATTTATACGTTTATAACTCCGTATTTTGTTGCAGTAGTTGGATAATAATCGATTTATAGATATCTAGGTTGGTGCTTGGACTTCCACTTGCTCGTTGTTCACAAATTTTAGGCGATATTGTCA